TCACCATCGCCCATCAACCCTCACCAGTCACCACCGTGCCCCTTCAACCCTCACCACCATCGTCTATAGCCGCCACCATCTCCACCTCTAGGAGACAGAAAAGGGAAGAGAAAAAAAGAAGGGGAGAAAGTTGAAAAGAAGATCTAGCACAGATCTACCGTAGATCTCGGAGAGAGAAAAAAGAATAATTGGAAAAAGAGAGGAGGAAGAAGAAAAGGAATAAGAATAAGATTTGAGAAGAAGAAGAAGAAGGAAGGAAGAATAACAGATCTGGAAACGGAGGGAAGAAGAATAAGGGGGAAAGAAAAAGAAAAAGTGAAGAGGAAAGAGAGGAGGAACGGATGAAGAAATAGAGAAGAGGAAGGAGAGAAGGAGAGAGGAGAAAAAGATAAGAATTGAGTGGCGAGGAAGGGGAGAGGGGGAGAGAGTGAAAATGGTAAGTGGGGGTATTTTGGGTAGTTAATGTATCAAAAATTGAAATGGGAAGATTTTTTTCGGACGGGAAAAAAGGAGAAACGGGAAAATTATTTCCGGACGGAAAGAGTATTCTTTTTCTAATATTTAAATTTTATTTCTTTACTTAGTAAAATAATTCAAATGTTTTAATATAATTTTAGTCAAATGTTATAAATTACTTTCTTTAGATATTTATAAATGAGAAAGTGTGTGTGTCTATATCTATGTGTTTATATATATATATATGTGTGTGTGTGTGTGTGTGTGTGTGTATGTATGTATATATATATATATAGACACACACACATATACATACATACATACATATATATATATATTTATTTATTTATTTATTTATTTATTTATTTATTTATTTATTTATTTATTTATTTATTTATATAATTTTTAAAAATGTTTAAACCACCGGTTCGACCAGTGAACCAGTACCTTGACCGGTTCGGTCACCGGTCATGTTCTGAAAACTATGTGTTAGACCATCACTCATGGGAGAAAATACGGGAGTCAGAAGTAAGCTACAAGAGTATAGTATTTATTTAGAAATAAAGTAATACTCATTTTGACATAAAATAGTATTCATTTTCAAATAATATAATATTCATTTTCACACATTTATTCAATAACAGAAGCGGCTCTAATAATGATAATCACAGTAACAGGATTGTTGTGGTGTATTATCTTTGTAGAAATCGAGAGCTTGAGCATCCCCATTTCATTGAAGTCTCCCCTTCTTCTTCGGATGGCCGCCTCTATTTGAGAGGTATCCTTCTTTTTCTCTTCTTTTACTCTTGTAATTTTCTCAAAGTTTTTCAATTCATTCTAAAACAAAATAATATTTATTCTCCAATAACTTAGTATTCATTCTTAAACAAAATAGGTTCATACCAGGTGAAGGCGTAGCAACCCTTTCTTTCTTCTCCTACCCACCCGACTAGAGTAACAGGTTAGGGCTTTTCATCCATCAGATTGGAGGATAGAGACACAAAGTACTCGTTTTGTGGCGGAGCTCTTCTTCCTCGATCGGACTCCAAAAAGTGGCGGTTGACGGCTCGTCTCCCCTTCGTCGCCGCTGCGCCTCTCTTTCGCTGCACAGTACGTGATTCTCTCTTCTTCGATTAGACTTCATCGGTCTCTCCTTCGTCGTCTGTGTTCCTCCTTTCTTGGATACAATTGCAGGCTGTATCGGATTTCCAATATAGTTGACTGTATGGTATAATTTGTGGGAATAGGAAGGTGAATAGCCTATGTGGCAAGGAGGAATAGTTAAAGAGGGTAGGGGAAAGTGAGGAGGGTGTAGTGTGAAAGGTAATAATATGCATCTAGTGTGAAAGGTAATACTACCTCCGTCCCACTCTCTTTGTCCACTTTTGACTTTTGGAACTGTTCATCTAAGCATTTTGACTCATCAAATTCTCTCAATGTGTAAGCCTAAATATAGTCATGTGTGATCTTGTTTGATTTGTCTTAACATATAGATTATAAATATATAATTTCTATAATTTTTTAATATACAAATTACAAGATAAAATGGATTAACTAGTGCATTGGATGATGTGTCAAAAGGTAAGTGGACAAAGAGAGTGGGACGGAGGAAGTAATAGGCATCTGAAATGTAATCTTTCATTGAAACAATAAACTACGTACTCTATTTGGTAAATAATGTCTTATTGTTAGTTACTCTCTTTGTTCCACGATGGATGTCACTTTGCATTATTTAACATTTACGATAACTTTTGTTTATTTCTACTTTTTTCTTATTTATTTGATAAAATAAAATATCATTATCACTTCTTAGTTTGTAGAAATTTTGACATAATTTTTAAATAAACAAGCTTTACATTTTTTTTCCTATCATTCTATGCTAATTTTTGAATTAAAGAAATTTAAAAAATATGATATTTTTCTTTGTTAAAATTCCGGCGGGCCGAGAACAACGGATAGAGTGTCGGGTAAAATTAACCACTTGCATATAAAGTCGAGATCCACAATTCAAACCCAAAAGCTTAAGCTGATAGGTAGGGCTTCACCCTTCAATATATGCAAGTGATATTCATCTTTATTTTCCGATGTGGGAACTCTAACACTCCCCCGCAAGTGGTAACTAGCCTGGCCTAGTTAGTACTTGGACAAACGGGTCTAGCATCTCAATCTCTTATAGCTAGCCCACACAACTGGCGGTGGCATCTCAATCTCTTTTTAGCCAACTCAGCCCAAACAACATACGGGTAGCACATTTTTGCTAAACCCACAACAAACAACCAGGAACAATCAAATCCGGACCGGACCTGCTCTGATACCATGTTAAAATTCCGGCGGGCCGAGAACAACGGATAGAGTGTCGGGTAAAATTAACCACTTGCATATAAAGTCGGGATCCACAATTCTAACCCAAAAGCTTAAGCTGATAGGTAGGGCTTCACCCTTCAATATATGCAAGTGATATTCATCTTTATTTTTTGATGTGGGAATTCTAACATTTTTTGTATTGCAGACAGTGGCATCAAATTGTTACCCACTTTCAGAATACCACAAATTTTGTTACCCACTTTCAGAATACCACAAATTTTAAAAATAAAAGTAATACAATGTCTATTTTTACCTTGGTGTAGACGAGTGGGGATCCCCTCTTACTCCTCTTTCAATTTACATTCGATTAAAGAAGCCGGCAATGTCATACAATATCCTTTTCAGCCAACAACTCATGATATACAGTATAGCTGTATAGGTTAAAAAAATCTATCTAACATAGTGTAATACAGAAGGAAGATTCACTGTGATGAAATTAATTGGTGGCGAATAAAACAGATGGAGGAATGTGGTCCATGTTAACGGAGGAATAGGAAGGTGGGTTTATGACAAGTAAACTTTCAAATGAAAAGTATCATTGTCCATAGGCATTACTGCACTCAATTAAATTTTTGGGTTTATAAAAAAGTAGGTTTAAGCTATTTGTACCCCAACTTTTGGACCTCACTTTGTACCCCGCAGCTTTGAACCAACACAAAGTGTTGGTGTAAAACTAATTTTTGTTAATGCACCAACACTTTGTGTCCGTGTAAATTTTTGTTAACGCACCAACATTTGTGTCGGTGTAAACCATCAAAATATTTGTGTATAACTGCGGTGTACAAATGGGGTATAATTTGTGGTGTAAGTGTAGCATGACCCAAAAAAGTATCATTGTCCATAATGAGAAGTAAACAGATGGTGTGTTTTTTTGGGTTAAAACAATTAATTTTCATTTTTTTAATATTTTTTCAGTTTTTTCCCCAGCTATTTTTAGTTTTTTCCAACAATAATTAAAAAAATTATTGCAAAATTTACACTAAATAGTACTAAAATATATGTCATTTTTTCAATGTAGTAATTACATTTTTTATTTACTAAATAGTACTCTTGAGTTATGTCTAGTGACGGAAATAATGTCTAGTAATAGTGAACATTTAGTTTGAATAATGTCCAGTAGCGGTGGACATTTAATTGAACAATGACAAATGAATAATGAGCAGTGGTACTACATTGAGAAATAAAAACATATGGTACTACATTTGAAAATGTCACTATGTTTTAGTACTATTTAGATAAATCTTCCAACATTAATTACATATAATGAATATACAACAATATCATATATTCAAATGTATAATAAATATACAACCTCAAACATAAACAAAAATAAAAAACAAAAATTTAAATTTAGTCATTGCTAAATGACCGTTTTAGTTCTCTCGATCTTTTTTTATATGTTTCACTCCAATGCGGGTCGGAGATGGCGGGTCGGAGCGTTTTCCGGCCAACGTCGGCGAAATTGACGGCGGGCATCCACTCCAATGCGGTTGTGGCATCCGGGCGACCTCCAAGGACCCTTCAATTGCAAGATTTGATGACGATTTGCAAAACCCCTAATTTTGGACCCAATTTCGAATTTTAGGGTTTTTCGAGTAGAAAAATTCAGATTCGAGAAGTTACATGCCAAATTAGACAAAATGGTTTGGATATTATTGATCCTCGTCTCAAGACGAAGAGAATGACATTGGTCCCGCCGGAATCGGAAAAAGTTCATTTTCCAGCGACTTTGACCGGCGGGCGACGGCGGCGGGGCCTGGAAGAAAAGAAAAGAAAAAATGGGGTCAAATTGAAAATTTTAAAATATATAAAATTCGAATTTGGCCCTAATGACCGGAAGTTAACCTAGAAACGGGCTAATGGCTCATTAGTGAAAGGATTGTGTAAGTTCAGGGATTTTTGTGAAAGGATTTGAAGTTCAGGTACCACTTCGAAATTCCAGCTAAAGTTCAGGTACCATTGGTGAAATTTACCCGAAACATACAAGTATAACTTTATTGCTTATAACAATAAAGTGTTGGTGTTTATTCTTATTGTTGATAAATAAGTTTTAATTTATAAGTTGTTTAATTTATAAGTTAAATATTTTTTTCTGGAAATAAAATGGCTTAAATAATAGATAAGTCATTTAAGGATATTTATAAATGGTGAGAGATGTTTTTATAAATAATCTGGTCAAAATAAAAAATGACTTAAAAATAAATAGATAAGACCGATTTATTTTTTGACTTATAAACACCTTATAAATTAACTTATAAGCTGAGAGAAACACGTCATCAGCTGACTTATAAGTTAAAAAACTTGTAAATAGTTTTGACTGAGTTGTGATTTTGTTGTCTTAAGGTCAACATGTAAAATATGAATTTTCTTACACTTTTTATGACCTTACAAGCATATCTTTTCTATTTTATAAAATGTGCAATTCTTTTATGGTGTTTATAAACTCCTTCCGTCCTATAAAGATCTTCTCGCATTGACTAAAACCCATTTGGATTAGGTGAGAAAAAAGAGAGGAAAGAAAATGAAGAAATGAGAAAGTGATGAGAAAATGGAAAGAAAAGTATTACTCTGCATTATTGGATGATGTGAAAATAATGTGAAAGTGTTGAGAAAATATGAAAAAAAGAAAAAAAATAAATAGAGAAGAAGAAGTTATAGCACATGGTTGGTGCATTTCTCACAATGGGATGTGAAACAAGTTTTTAAGTGGCCACATTATTAATTTTCTTTTTTCTTATCATTTTCATTCATATTTAAACAAGAGAAAATATATTGAAGTATGTGTTTTCTCACCTTCAACTTTCTTTCCTCTCTTTTTCTCATTATCCAAACAAAGGCGATTGACTATTTTTACTATGACTTCCATTTTTGCCCTCCTTCCCAGAAACTCAATTCCAAGTTACGGAGTAATTAAAAAAATTATCCTTCTTTTCCGGCTTTGATTGGAGTGGTGACAACGGCTCAGTTGCTTGCTTGACGGCGGCAGTAGTGGCTTTTAGACGGCGATGGCCGGCAGTCACGATCTAAAGGAAGGCGACGAGGACAACGCTTCATGTCTACTCGACGGTGATCTATTCCCTGAGGCGGTAGCAATCTATTTCCTTGGCTCGTCAGAGGCGTGCTTGACAAAGATTTATTTCCTTAGGCGGAGGCAATCTATTTCATTGGCTCAGCGACAATTAGTTTTACAGAGATCTATTCCCCTTGACTCGGTGGTGGTTTGCTTGGCGGTGATCTATTCCCCTTGAATAGGTGGTGATCTATTCCACTTGGCTCCGTGGCAGTCTATTACCCTTGACTCGACGGGGATCTATTCCTTTTGGTTTGGCGGCGATCCATTCTTCTTCGCCGATTTCTGATCAAGGGGTGTAACGAAAACCAACCAAAAGAGTAGATTGAGAGAATGAGGCTCCGAATTTTGAGGGAGTGAGAATTGGGAAGAGAGAAAGTGGACTTGAAGATAAGATGGTTGTGAGGGAAAGGGGAGAGAGAAGCGAGAAAAAGAGATTGAGAAAGGAAGAGAAGAAAAAGGGTATAATAGTCTTTTACATCCTTTTTTGGAAGTAAGAAGATAATTTTAAGATAAAAAAGATAGATGAAATATTAAGAATATTTTAGAATGGAGGAGATATTAAGGCTTATTTAATGAATGTGAACCGTATAATCATTTAAAGAATTTTCCATTTTGACCAATTAATTTGTAAGTATAAAGAAATAAAGAATACCACATATCCTATTGCAAAAATAGGGGTGAATTACAACTGTACAAGTAATAATCTAAGGAAGACAAAGGTAGGCCGTGAATTTGGTTCCCGCCATTGTCACACACTGGCGCCCTCCCAGAGTCGCAGTTGATGTTAGCTTCTCGCCATCTGGCCAAGTCCCTGCTCTTCTTCAACCGTCTTCAATGTCCTATTAGACTCAACTCGATTCAGTTTCTGCTTTGCCATAAACCCTTCTCTCTCAAATCCCCAATCTTTTCCGCAAACCCTAATTTCAGATCAATGTCCACTCGCCGCTCAGCGTTCGATGTCCTGATGGCCAATTCCAAGAAGAAAACCCCAACCCAGTCTCTCAAAGCACCTGATTCTTCGCCTAGGAAACGCAAAACCGCTGAAAAAGAAACTCCCGAGCGGATGTCCATCCCCACCTCAGCTCCTAAAGAAAATGGCCTTACCAATTCAGAGGTGATTGAGAATGCCCGTCCTGTAAATGGGCCGATAAGTGGCGTGGATGCTTCGGGTGTAGGAGGTGAACTGGCATCTAAGAAACAGAAGTTCATAAGTCCTAATGAGAGCGTAGAGGAGCTGAAGAAGAAGAATTTCGACCCGAAAAAGGCCGTGTATTGGGTAGATGGTGAGAGAGTGCCCTTCATGTTTGTAGCCAAGGCATTCGATGCAATTGCAGAGGAATCCGGGCGGATTGCCATCACAGAAATTGTAACCAATGCATTAAGGACAGTAATTCATACGACACCGGATGACTTGTTGCCAGTGGTTTACCTTTTTGCAAACAAGATTGCACCTGCCCATGAGGGGCTGGAGCTTGGAATTGGAGATGCATCAATTATTAAGGCCCTTGCTGAGGCTTGCGGGGCCAATGAAGCGCACATCAAGAAGCAATACAAGGTAAGAAAAATAATGATTGCAACATTTACTCTTACTTGATTTCTCAACCAAACTCGGAAATGCATAATCTTTGTCCGAAAGGCATAAGAACTCCAAGGTACTTTCATGTGCTTTTGAGCCTTGGGTTTTCTTGTTACATATTTTAGTTTCATCGCAGCATCGCTTGTCAATACTAATAACTAGCACGGAGTAATATTGTTATCATATACTCATAAGATGACTGAATGGGTATTTCCACTTTGGATGGACTGTTTCCTTTACTCATATTAAACTGTCTTTTTATAACTTTGTGTGTTCCAAATGATAGGATCTGGGTGACTTGGGCCTTGTTGCAAAAGCGAGTCGATCATCTCAGTCTTTGATGCGTAAACCGGAAGCATTAACTGTTACCAAAGTTTTCAACACTTTTCGGATTATAGCTAAGGTAATCAATTTTAATACGCTTAGAATCCTTAGATTTATAGCTTAGGTAATCAAGTTTAATATGATTTGATTTATAGCCAATGTCAGGTCACCTGTCCAATTTGTTGTCCAGTCTTTTTCTAAAAGTATTTTGATCTTAGTTTGATACAATGCCCATATAAGGGGATGTTTAATGATCTGACCTCCAAATCCATTTTAACCTCATGAAAATATACATTACCAATATTAAGGAATGTCTATGGATCTGACTTTTTGATTCATACCTACAATACCCATATTAAGGGATGTTTGTGGATTTGACTTCCAAATTGATTTTAACACAATGAAAACACATTTGTTGCATAGCAGGTAACACTTTCATTTTCTTTGGACAATTATTCTCCATCTCTTCCCCTATAATAAGTTAATAATCTTTTCATTTGTGAGGTAAGTGCAGACCCCCTTTAGATGTACTTGGATGAAGTTAATGGCTGTAGTTCTTTTACAAATCTGCATTAATTTAATCATCAATGATTGTAGGAATCTGGCAAGGATAGCCAAGAAAAGAAAAAGAATCACATCAAGTCGTTACTAGTTGCAGCTACCGATTGTGAACCTCAATATTTAATCCGACTGCTACAGGTTAGGACACCGTGTTTTGGAGTTGCTTGTTAGCTACTTCTGTGAGTGATCTTCACGTTCTCCAATCGATTTCTCCGTACAGACAAAGTTACGCATTGGGTTGGCGGAACAAACTCTTTTAGCTGCGCTGGGCCATGCCGCTGCGCATCCAGAGAAGCATCCATCACCTCATGCAAATGTGAACTCTCCTATGGAAGAGGTATGCAAGTATTATCTCATTATGGTGCAAAGCCCATCCATCCCCCCACCCGACTCCACTCCAATGCCACCAAATTTTATTCAATTCGTGATTGCTTTTGGAATTGTACAGGGTTCATTTTGTGAGGCTAGGATGTCTAGAAGGGATAATAAAGCAAGATATCATAACTTGTACTCCTTCCGTCCTATAAAAATGTTCTCACTTTCCTTTTTTTTTTGTCCCAAAAAAACATCACTTTTTTTTTAAAAGAAAAGAATTTATGGCTAAGAAAATTTCTCTCCTCTTAACCAATTATAACCACACCTTTTTCACTTTTCAGCACCTTTTTAAATCTATGTAAGTTTTTTTATGGGACTGAAGGAGTATTTTAATAATGAACATCGCTCTATAGAATTAACGATGGAGAGAGTATTTTAATTGTGAACATCACCTGATGGATATGAGTATGTGTATAAAATTTTAAAGTACTTCCGTTCCAAAATAATTACATCTCTTGAAGTTTTACATTTGGATGAAAGGTAAGTTCTATAGGTCCGTAGTCAGACTAGCTATGCTGTATGGAGGCCGAGTGTTGGGCGGTTAAGAAGACTCACGTGCGTCGTCTGCGTGTGGCGGAGATGCGGATGTTGCGGTGGATGCGTGGGCAGACGAGGCTGGATAAGATTCCAAACAAGGTTATAAGAGGCCGGTTAGGCATGACGCGAGTGGAAGATAAGCTGCAGGATGCTAGGTTGAGGTGGTTTACTCATGTGAGACATGGAATGCTGACACTCCACTGGGGAGATGCAAGAGGCTTACATTGGTAGGGGGAAGTTGGGGAAGGGGTAGACCTAGGAAGAGTTCGAAGGAGGTGATTAGACATGACTTGGGACTTCTTGAGGATATGGCCTTAGATATGAGTGTTTGGAGAGCTAGGATTAGAGTAGCTGGGTTGGTGCCTTGAGTTAGGGGGTGTTGTTGGTGTGTGCTTTGTATGCCTTGTATGCTTGGTGCTATTTGCTATTTGCTATTTGCTTGCAGTACTTTTTTTCCGTTAACTTTAGTTTGTTTTTTTACTCGTGTTTGGTGCTTTATCTGCTGTGCTTCTTTCCCTGCTTTATGTATTTACTGTGGTCCTTCTATATGTGCAGCTTGAGCCGTGGGTCTCTTGGGAGCAGCCTCTCTACTTTCGAGTAGGGGCAAGGTCTGCGTACGCACACCCTCCCCAGACCCTACTTTCGCGGGATCCAACTGGGTTGTTGTCTTGAAGTTTTACATTTGTCAATGCACAAGTTAAATTATTAACATTTTATTAAACAACAATAAACCCATTGCCCTAGTTGGAGAGTAGAGAGACTGTTTCCAAGAGACACATGACTCAAAACATAGAAGCACTACGACAACCAAAAGTAGCAGAACAAAGTAAGAACCCATACAAACCCAATAACACATGCAGAAACCCCCAAACTAGACACTAAGCACACATCCAGGAATTATAAACATAGATTAAACGATCTACCCTACCACCATAATCCCATACCTCTAGACGCTCATATCCTTGATAAGATCTTGAAGTCGCACGTCGTGACCAATCACCTTCTAACTCTTCTTAAGTCTACCTTTACCCTCCAAAAACCCCTACCTCAACCCTCTCGCACCTCCTCACTAGCATCTGTACTTCTCCCCAGCATGTGTCCAAACCACCTCACTCTAGCATTTCACAGCTTATCCTCTACAGAGACCACTTCCATCTTGGAGTCAATATAGACATAAAAACGTATCCTATCCTGTAGAATTGTAAGAAGAATCAATCTATAGTTGTTGCTTATTCGAGTTTACTTATCTGTTTCCAGGCTGAGAAGATTGTCAAACAAGTTTATTCTGTGATCCCAGTATATGATAAAATTGTCCCTGCCCTACTTTCGGATGGCGTCTGGAACCTTCAAAAGACATGCTCTTTCTCACCAGGTGTTCCAGTTGGACCTATGCTTGCTAAGCCAACTAAAGGAGTATCTGAAATTGTTGATAAATTTCAAGATATGGAGTTCACTTGTGAATACAAGTATGATGGTGAACGTGCTCAGGTATTCATTGTACCTTTGCTCTTTTAGTCATTACTGTGCCAGGCCATTTCCATTTAAAGAGTATGTAAGTAAAAGCTGCAAAGGAAATTATTGGATTGTTTTGCTCTTAAAAACCACCCTCATAAGAAAGCTATATAATTATAAGTAAGTAAATATGTAGCACAAATGTAAGTTCAATTGCACACCAGAATTCTTTGCTGCTTTAATGCTTTTCTTCAATCTTGCAAAATTACTCAACTCCGCCGCACATGAAGTTCATGTTTCTGGTTTATTTAGGGTACTTTTTTCTATCCTTTTCAATTCTTGGCAGCTAACACAAATTTACTCACAAAGATGTATATAAATATGAGAAGCTTTACAGGAGATAAACTTTCTGTGATACTTCAGAAATTCATTAGTTCCTCCGTATAGCACTGCTCTCCCCTTTACACCAAAAGAGGACTCTCAAGAGAATGTACTTTAGCATTTGTACATGGAATTTCATGGGATTTCTTTTCCCTAAAA